ATTTTCAATGATGGAGGTAGGTTCACTGCAGGGTTAGTTTGTCTCAGGGGTTTGCACTGGCTGTTCACGCTGTGCAAAATCTTGAATGTTCTCTTCCAGCTCATCACATAGCTTTTTCCTCTTTAATGTTTTACTCAAAAATATAATTTTCTCCTGAGGACTTTCCTGGTACCCTTACTTAAAATTGCAAACTTCATCCTCACTCCCCAATCTCCCAAAGCCATTTGCTGCCTTATTTTCCTTCATAACACTTACTACCATTTATCATACTAACATTTATTTATGTGTTTTATCGATTAAATATATTTTATTCCTTAGAGTGTGAGATCCATGAGGTCAGAGATATTTTTGTGTGTTTTTTAGAATAGTGGTTAAAACGTGTCTGGTAGTAAATGTTTACTAAACCAGGGAATCTGTTTACCTGTTTGCCTGCCTATTGAATGTGGAAGAGCATACACCAAAACTCGAATAGGTTTTCCTGGACATATTAGGTCTTTACCTATTTCTTTAATTTTAGCATTATCCAAAGGAAGCGGTCTTATTTTTATAAATGTTGAAAAGTAAACTTTAAAAATAAACTGGGAAGGAAGCCATTTATTTAGGTCTTAGGAAAGGGCAACCATGGCAAACAGTGCCATGCATGTTTGTGCCATCTTGGTTGTTTTCCCCAGTGTCTCACAAATTACCACCTGACCCAACAGTGTGTGAACATGAGTGCTGGGACAAGTCAAGAAAGTAGGGAAAAGGGACCAGCAAAACTTGACCACAGGGTTTCTTAGTTCACAAAATAAAAGCTAGGCAGAAGTGCATTTATTTTTTCATGTTTTGCCAGTGCAATTGGTATGAGTATTTGCTATGTGGACCTAGTTCTCTCTGCTGGTTGTGCAGGTGGTTGCCTAACCTTGTGTAAGAGAATACTTTGAATCCCAAAGTAAGAGACGTGCTAAATCATTCTTTCTCATTAACAGCACTGGGGCTCAGAGCATGAGACCTCAAAGTATTTTGAACTGAAGGAGCCTGGAAGGGTCTAGAAGCAAGGCCCTTCTGACCTTCTCCTGCTCTTCTGTCTCCCATTTCTTTCTGTCTCCCCACTAGAAGTCATGGAAACTTGGTCTTCTTTCCCCCAAAGGATGCCGCACCACCTTGGAAGGTCACTGTCACTTCTCCCTTGAAAATCCTCATTCCAGAGGCTTTGCTAAGTACCCCCATCAGACTGTTTTCATCAACTCATTCCTTTTTGTCCATTACATTTCTACTCAGCTGTACATTTTTTTCATAAAATTTAAGCATAAAAATATGCAATTTTAGTGGTAGAGCATTGCCTAGCATGTGTAAGCCCCGAGTTCCATTCCCAGCACTGCAAAAAACAAACAAACAAAAGTTTTACCTCCGTCTTTGGGTCTTCATTTTGGGAGGCTCCTGATTAAACTCAGATTAAAATAATTTGTTGTGCTTTTCTATTGGTAACCTGCCTCTTGTTATAGGATTATTAATCATGACCCTTAATGATGAATAAAGAAAAGTTTTACACCCTCCCCCCCCCAATACCTCTCTGAAAATTTGCCAGTCAATGAACCAGATGTCACCTGGGACAATGAGGCAAAAGACTACCAAGGTTGATGAAGAAGTCAGGAAGAGCAATTGATGGGGAGGGGAAGAGTGTGGGGACTCAGCAAAATGAAGGAAAACCCATGAACAGAAACTGAACCTACTCACTAGTGTGACGAAGTCCTGGCTTTTACAAAATTATGAATCTGAGCTTTTAGCTGTTTTCTTTTTCCTTTTTTTGAGGGGTAAACTAGAGCCCTGGGGCTAAGTGTAGCCCAGCACACATTTTTGCAAATGAATTTTTATTGCCACACTGTGTCCATCATTTGCATATTCTCTATGGCTGTTTTCTGGCTACCTTGTCAGAGCTGCAGTAGTTGTGAGCAAGACCATGTGACCACAGAGATTAAGCTGTATACTATTTGGTTCTTGATAGAGAAAAGTTTGCTGGCCTGGGTCCTACACCAATGTCTGTGGCTCATTCTGCTGAGATTGGCCCTGAGAATGCAGAAACTGCTGAATGGGCTCTGAACTCATTTGATGCTCTGCTTCTCAGCTCATTTGGATGCGTGTGAGGGGATGGTAGCCAGGCTTCCACCAGGGGTCTAATGAAGCCAGAAGGGATGTCCAATGGGCAGCAATTTCTCATTGCGTAGGGTCACCTCTGATGATGAGAATCAGAAACATGTTGGTGAGTTAAGGGACGAACACCCAGGGAAGGGAGAGAGAAGAGATGAGATGAGACAGGACTTTACTCCTCCCAAGAGTTCTCTAGAGCCTTTCTGCATTTAACTTCTAGAGGACAGAATGCTGCCTGCCTGAATTTAGTGAACTGAATTTTGTCCTTAGAGACAAGCATGCTGCTCCTGATGACTTCAATGGGAGTAACGGGCCATTTGGTCCCACCACATCTGTGCTGGCTTCAGGCTATTTAACAAACTCCTAAGCAAATCCCAATAAAGTGCTCTTTAATGGATACTTAATTCTGTTGTGGGGGTGGGTGCTGAGCACACCTAAGTCCTAACTTTTCCTTCAGGTTTACTTAGTCTCCTCCTTTTTTATGACTTGCTAATTACTGCAACCAAGAGTCCTGAGTCAAGAAGTATTAAATCCACTCAAAGTCATAAGATGTCTGCTTTTATTGATCTCAGTTGATCTGTTTACTTACTCTCTGGGTTCCAAATTAATAGCTCAATTGATTATTCATTTACATTTTTAATGTTGTTATGGGCAAAATCACTTTAACATAAATCATCTCTAACTTCATGGGTGACATACAAAATCGTTCTGGATTTTTAATTTCAACAAGTATTTATTGAGCATCTGAGCTCAGGTGAACTTAACCCATATGAAAAAGGTCATTTCAGACTCTAGTGAAAGATGATAGAAATGATTTTTTTTTTTTTATTTTTCTGCTGCACAAGGTGGCCATTACTTGTGAGTAGTTAATCTGAAGTCAGTTAGGACATTAACTTTTGTGTCATTCTCTTGCTAACTATATTTTGCCTAAGTACAATTTAAAATCTATCATGACTACACATTTGTTTGAACTCTTTCTTAAATTAAGCACAGAAATTGCAATGATTAGTTTTCCTTTTGAATGGTTTTTGCTTTGCTGGAGATGGAGAAATAGTGAGAGATTACACTACGGAGAGCTCACCACAATGAGAAATAATATGGTTGTATCAGCTCACAAAATACTCTTTTAACAACGGGTAGGTAACACAGAAGATCTAACTACACGTGTGTTTACAATGAAATATTCTACCTGAAGGCTCTTTAAATATGTTGTGGAGTTTATTTGATAATATGTTTTCTTTCTTCACAGGAAGCAGGTAAAGCTCTAAAAAAAAAATGACTGCCTGTGGCATATCCCTCCCAATAAGACTGCTTTGAATATAATATTTATGAATTATATATCCAATCACCTACCACCTTCACTTCTTCCTAAAATGAGATGAGGCATAAGAAAATACATAAATGCATATCTCCAACCATAAGAGTCACTTTTATCTGACAGCATAAAATGGAAGCAGAGTTTAACGCCAAATGGAAGAGGCTCACTATTCATCCTCTGGGGGATAATAAGTGCTAATGCTTTTTGAAAAGGGTATTGAAAAATGAAATAGTATTAAAGTCTGAAAGTGCTTCCCTTTACTAATTTTCACTGCTAATTTTATTAGTCTTTTTGCCCAATGTGTAGATTACAGAAAGGAGCTAATTTCAATTCTTGGAGGGAAAAAACAATTCAGACAGTTAATAGTGTTATTTTTCTGAAGGTAATTACTAAACTATTTTCTTCAAGTATGTGATAGGAAGCAGATAATAAATATAGATAAGATACAATTTCTATTTCAGGATCTTCTAGTCCCATAGATATGTAATAGATCATTGAAATAGAATGTGAGAGACAATGATTCTATTTCCAAAACACTGCTGAACTCTCTGGTGTTCCCAGAGAGCCTCATGGAAGAGGGAATATTTATATGTGGTCATAGAGAATGAAGGTGCTCACCAGCATTTGAGTCCCTCACAGTGGCTCTATAGTGAGGGCCCAGCCTCGGAAAGCAGAAGTTGGGGAGAACTCGGAGTATTTGAGAAATGAAAGACTTCTCATCACAGCTGGTGTGAGAATATAGGCCACGGAGGAAGCTAGTGCCTCGATTTATAAAGACTAACTTGGCTTAATGTGAAATTGGCCAAATTATTATATGCCACAATAAAACCCACCATTCTGTTTAATTATTATGCACCAATAAAAAAATAAGCACAATAGTCCAATGGTGAAAAACTTTGAGTTAGAGGGGCTTAGATTTATTATGTGGACAAAGGAGGATCCTGGGCTGACTGTAAATGAAACAAGTGGGAGTCTAAACTCTGACAGACCCTGAACTGTAAGCAGAAGACAGGGAGAAAAAAACAGAACACTACAGATGGAGTTAGAGAAAATCTAATGAGGGCCAGAATGAAAGCTTAGTTCTAAGACTCATCACCTGGGCTCATCGGCTCTTTCCCAGGAAATAGTACACTTGAATAGTATAATCTGTACCTGAATTCTTGTTTGCTAACCTACTTTGGGAACTTTTCCAGACATTTGCATAGCCACTTATCAAGTTCAAATCTTATTATCTGGTCACTTTCATTGTGGTCATAGTTGCATAAATGAAATTACATCTTTGATATGTAATTAGAATATAACATATCAATAGTGTGATATTTCTTTTAAAAAATCCCATAAATTTGATGAGAAAAAAATATCAGAAAGAATCAAAAAACAAGAGAAATTCAAGCTAGCTACACTTGATGTTCCTAAATTACTTTGGAATACACAGTCGGCTTTATATAAAGACATTTTCATGCACTCCACCTGAAAAGTTTATGCCTGTAGAAAACTTTAATTCCCTTTGCTCAGGCCAAACATGGCCAGGTGTGGTCACGTGTGAGTCCCATACCTGTGCTGTCTTCATACACCACAGTCACTGTTTTCCAGTTGTAATAGAGGACCAGATCCAGGACCGCTCTGCTGATAGCTGCATAATCTGGATAGAGGTTGATGTAAAACAAATCTTTGTTGTCCACTGAGGGGTGTTTCCAGCGGGTCTGTATGTGTGGAACTTCGAGAGCGTTGCAAATAGACTGCACAGCACTGACGGAGGAACTATGGGAAGGGCCAAAGAGGGCAGCCACACCCAGAGCCAACTGGTCACATGCTGAGGATGTCCAAAGACAAGTAGGGGTGGGAAAAGAGATGGAGAATAGGGAAAAGGGGAGAGAAAGAGAGTCCTGTGAGTTTTATATTTCCCTTCTTCTTTTAAACTTGACTATTGGAAAATCTCCCCATCTGTATGTAGAGGAAATGTGCTCCTTTCAACTTCCAATTTTCTTGAGATGATAAGATACTGATAGATGTAAATGTAGAACCGATTAGCAATACATCACAGGACCAACTCCCTGCAAATAAAATTGAGTTACGGGTCTCACTTCATTACCTTTAATCAGATGGAGTCTAAATCCCTCACTTAATGTGGCTGTTACTGGGGAGCCCTCCAGGAGCCAACCAGCAAGTCATTTGTCAAATGAATGTTGTATGAATTAAGTCCTGTCATATGGCAGGGTGGCAATGAAGGTATTAGCGTGGTCACAAAATTCAGAGGAAAAACCTGTGAGTGACTACAAATTGCTTTAGCTTCTGTCTTCCCCAAATTCAGTTCCAGTTTATTGAGATTCTGCAAAGGATTGATCCTTTTGCAGAATACTGATTCTCGATACCTAATTAATTACAGAACAATGGAATAGCATAGCTTAAAGGGAATCTTAGGAAACGTTGTGTCTATCCTTCTCACTTCAAGACTATGGGCTGAGTTTTGACCACTAACAGTGGCGGAGCTAAATCAGAGCTCAGGACCCCAGCTCAAGGTCAGATCCTTTTCTGTCTCAGTATCAGCCAACATATACCTTAACAGAATGAAATCATATTTTAAAATGTATTTATAACATAAATTAATTTTCTCACTATATATGCTAATTGAGAGAATTTAGAATATTTAAAATGTATGGAAAATCAGCAGGCTGTACTTAATCCATCATCTTGGGAGAATATCTACTTATATTTCAGACAGTTGGGATCATTATACAAATGCAGTTTGATCCATTGAATATAATAGCACACTTCTTTGTCAAGTAATTATAAATTCTTCAAAAGGACACTTTCAGTATCTGTAGAATATACCATTCCACGGAAATTTAATAACTTATTTTAGCCATTTTTATAATTTTAAAGCTCCTCCCACTTCTTGACCATAAGAAATTTTATACAACTTCTATTTTCCTCTATATCTTAGGATACTTCCTTAGAGTAGATTTCCAAGGGTTGAGTTTCCAAGGGTTAACTAAATTAAAGGGTTTTGACATTTTTGTTATTTGATACATATTATCCAAATTTCCCTCCAGAAAGGTTAGAGCAGTTTAACTTCTACAACCATGTAAATAGAGCCTATTAATCTTATGCTGGCAGGTGTTAAATATAAATTTAGCTGCATTTTCAAATTTATATTGTAATTCTATTTTGAAGTAATTTAGAACTACCAAGATATAATAATTGAATATAAGACTTAAATAATAGCTCAATTTGTAAGTGCAATAGTGTTGACTTTTATAATAATATCATTTGGCAAATAAAAATAAATGGAACATTTGTATGACTCTAAAATTACCTGACTCGATTTAGAGAGAATAATATGATAACCATTGTAGATATCTAAGGGGCTGTGGATGTTGACAGTCGTTTACAAGGAAAACTTTATGATACTGTGCTGTTTAGTACTGGATTACTACGTCAGCTATAGATATGTATACTTTTCTGCGTTAAGTGCTATAGGTATAAATTGTCATTGTCCTTAGAAGCTTATTTCTGGACATATTTTCATTAGTTAACCAGAAAAAAAATGAGAGCACAAGAGTTTGTGAACTGCCATGTGATCCGGCCTGTGCAATGGATTGAGATTTTTGCTAATATGTAGCTCTAGGATTCTAATAGTACTTGACAGAAAATCAATCCTTTTGAATTTTGTTTGCCAGCAAATTACCAGTTTTAAGAAGCTTTGGGGTGTTTAATTTACAAGTATGGCAGGTACTTCAGATCATAAGAAATCTCAGTTCTTATGTGGGTTGAAGTACCGATGCTAAATGTTGCTGGCTGGCTTTCTATGGAGTGTGTGTGTGTGTGTGTGTGTGTGTGTGTGTGTGTGAGAGAGAGAGAGAGAGAGAGAGAGAGAGAGAGAGAGAGAGATCTAACCCAAACAGATAATGCATATGGAGATGACTTGTAAACTTCAAAGTGCTGTATAAGCAAAGCTTTACTATTTGTTCATAGACAATCCTGACCTATATGACATTTTTAACTCCATCCATCTTGAAAAAGAAAGAATTCTTATACTAAGGTCATGCCATAGGTAGACAGAGATCATTGCACTATAATTTTTTCACCTGTACTCTAAGAAAAGTTTTATATTTTATTTGGAAAGAGTACTAAAAGTCTTGCAAAAGTTCACTAAGTGAACACATCCTATGATCTAACTAGGTTAATTCAGTTAACAATCAGTATTCAGCAACTTGGAAACCAGCGGGACTGTGGAGTTCACTGTGTTTTATTTGTTTGTCTGTAATGGTGAGGCATTCTCTGAGAGGCAAAGAGTCCCCGTCTGCTTTGGGGTGCTCAGCAGCCTTTGTTACCACACAAACTCCTTTATCTGGTGACTAGACTGTGCCCTCATTAGAGGCCAAGCTTCAAGTATATCAAATGTGATCTTACTTCAAAGAATCATCCTAGAAGTGCCAGCGGGATGTCTAAACCACCCTTCAGTTATACATGAATCATTCCATGGGAGAAAGCTTGTAGTCTATAAATTGGATTACTTTTTGGGCACTTGTCTTCTGTTCAAAAGCAAAAGAAAATTAAATGCTGACATTGTTCTCTCACAGATTTAATCTTTGTATTTCTATGATTTTGTTGAAAGGAGAAAAAAAGTGTGTGAAGATGCTAGGTAAACCCCATAGTTTACAACCTGTTAAAATTCAGGGTGTGAGTTATGTATGTCCTGGGCATTTCCACAGCTCCATGGATGTGACCTTCTGCAAAGTTTTATTTGACTGCACTGTACAATTTCATGGTGGTATCTCAGCTTCAGGAAGGAAAAACAGATCAAGCTTGACATTTTCCATTCACAGCTGAACCAGTTAATCATAGAGTGGAGGGCACTGAAGGGTAAGCTAATCAGAAAGGCCCAGAAAACAGGGTGAGGCAGCATCCATTAGGTTAGCACAGATTGCATTGATCAGTGACACCCAGGCCTGAGATTTCCTACGACCCATTTGCACTAAGATGCCTGTTTTGAAAAAGGGCAGGTTGCAAAAAGGTGACCCATGGAGCAGACGGATCACCCAAAGAAGCTTTTAAAAGTGGGAAAAGAGTTACCTCTCCGCGAGGCTTCGAAACTATCAAAAAGATTAATTCTCTGGATGTCATAGGTTAATGTGGTGTTCGGCATCAGGGTTCGGTTTCTGTTAATGCTGGTGACTGCAAACTTGAAAGCTAGTTCTTCCACATTAACAGGTTCGTTTTCCACAGTTTCAAAAATCCCTCCTGCAAAAGCAAAAGAGATGGACGAGAAGCATTAGTCACATGATTCATCTATAACTTTTTTTAAGAAGACAAATGGTAACTACAAACGAAAGACCTAACTTGATAAATGGTCTAAGCAGACCCCAAATCCAGGGCTAACATAAGTTTATGAGCATGTGTCATAGGCAGACAAATAGGTCTAATGGCATATGATCCTGAAGGTTTAAATTCAATGGTGGCATGTATAATACCTTTCAGACGGTGAATATATTCCAGATATTTTGTAGCATGAAATTGTAACTGATAATAAAGCAGAGAGCAATTTTCCACTGTTTGGACAAGAATGGCATTGGTCCTTGACCTGAAGATAATTTGAGCTCTATCCTGTTAGGACCACCCTTCCTTATAATGAAGCTCTTTCTGTTCAGATGCAGACATTCTAGATTCCAACGAGATCACACAGAGATGAGTGGGCTCAAAATGGGACACACATACTCTTTCAAATGAAAGCATCATTTCTACACTTCATGGGTTAGAATTCTGAGCCATGTATTCTAGCAATGTATTCTAGTACTTTCTGAAGTGCATGGGCAGATTCAAAGAACTCTTTTTTCTTTTCGTTTTCTTTCTTTCTTTCTTTTTGAAATTTTGTTTGGTTGTTCCCAAAAGCAAACCTGTATACCATCTCTGAAGAAATATGTGCCTTTGCTTAGTTTGGATATCTTAAACATGAAGATTTCACTAGAAGAAATAATATGAAATATTAGTGCTTCAAGCCTCATCAGAGAATTCAGCTCTGGCTTTTTTTTTTTTTTTTTTTTGAGGCTTTGATGGTGGCTAGAGACATGTTAGTACTGGTAACTATGCATTCTTATTGTACTTTAAGTGCTATTCTGGGATTATTGATAGACACGGAGTGTTCGCATTCGGTAGAAGTCCCCTTAAATGACCTCCACTTAACTTACTCCTTGATTGACCCAAACTCATTTCCTTTAAAAATGCATATGAACTGATGTCCCTGGAATTCTGAATACTTGAGACTCTCAGGCTGCTGTTTATCTGCTCTTGCCATTCTGTAATTCCTTACCAAAGTTAGTTGTAGGTTTTCCCTAAACTTGCCTGTGCTAGATCTATTTGTAAATTCATTAATAATGCTTTGTACTCAAGAAAAAATATGTACCAAAAAATCTGAAATTAATATCATGAATTGGGAGTTTGATATATCAGCATTCTTTTTTTGGAGAGCTCCAAATGATAGATGCTAATTGAAAGTAATTACTTTCATCCTGCTTTGAAAGAATAGTAAATAAATGCACATCTATAACTTTTCTGATAAACTGACATTCTCTATAAAATAGCTACTACAGTGTCAGATTGAAAGCTAAGAAGGTTTATACAGAACAAATTTGGCTCCTTTTGGACATATTTCTGGCATTTATAGACCAATGTTAGGAGTCATTCACATATTGATCATTTCCCTGTTCCTAGAGAAACCATAACTGAAAACTATGTGATGATATTGGGTGATCATTTTAAACTTCACCTAAAGACCTGCATGAAACATTTACTCAGAAATGAGTGTTGGGAATGAATTTACTTTTCCAGTGAATTTTTGGTTTTCTTTTGCTGGGTAATTACAAACAGGGATTTGGAGCTGGATTTCTAGTTCCTCAGAACTTTTGATGAATGTTTGAGAGGAAAGTGATAAAATTTGGAAAATAGACACTTGGTCACCAAAAGAAGATGGCTGTAAGGTGAGTTCACCCTCACTGTCAAGCTGGCGCACACAGCAGATCCAATCATTATTAGCAACTATTTGTTTTCTCATTATTCCCTCCCATACCCAGTGAGCCCTCACACAGACAGTGTGTTTAACTCAGAACCACTATTCCTATGGAAATCAAGTCATCTAAAGACATCCAGGCTGCAACTATTTAGGAAAAAAGTTAATCACAGGCTGAGGTGTGAGCACCATTAATCTGTGTAGGGTAGGTAGGTAGGTAGGTAGGTGCCGCAGTCCAGCTGCAGCAAAATAACCGGGGGGTGACGACAAGCAACTTGTGTACATTGATACAGCAGGAGTGGGAGCTGTTTATTGTAGGACAGGAGGGGTACATATACATTCCACACAGCTTATCTTAATTAACATAAACTAGATACAGCAGTCAACCAATAAGGAATCTCCACACTTAATGGCTCTCTAGCTTTACTTCACAAACCACTCCCTCTGGCAAAATGCCAGGCGCCATCCTGACTTGTTTACAGACCCTAACAGGTAGGAAAAACACTTTAACAGGAAACAGAAATTCTGAATCCTGGACATTGGTTAACCCGATTCCCCTTCCAGGAGGATCTTTAAGTATTGAGATGAAAGTCACCGTGAAATAGCTCTTTTATGTATATTTCATTTAAACTTTATAACATTCAGGGTAGCAGATACTTTTCCTGTCTTTCTAAAAAGTGAACAGGGAGATTATTTTACCCAGCTTACTCAAGGTTGTAAATCTGTGACAAACTCAGATGTCTGACTGTCCAACCAGTGAGTGCCATCAACTTCTTCAAGCTCTTTCTATTGCTCCTGTCCAGCAAGGGCTTTAGCTGCTGCCTTGTGTCCCTTGTCTGTGAAGCAATTGATATAAGACAAAAGTCCTCTGAAAGTCCAGCTGCTCCCCAGGGAAAGGCTGGTATTGTTCGCCTCCTGCTCACCTCAGAGCCATTCCTTTGGGATACCATTTCCTTTCCCACACATCTGAGTGTTCCTGGGTTTAAGAAAATTATGTGTTTTGATATGTGTTTAGGTGGTGTGTAGGTGAATTCTGTTTTGTCATTTTGAGAACAATTTCTTTTATTCCTTTGCCAAATGAGAATTACACGTTGTGTCATTAGCTCAGCACCCTCTCGCTTTCTCCTTTTCTCTGAGAAAAGGGCATCTGACAAATACCCAAAACCCACAGTGATGTGAGGTATACAGAGTGCTGGAAAAGTACCAAGAAAGTGAAATATGATAAAAACAGGAGAAAGTTATTAATAGGAGCCAGACTAATACCTCACAGGGGGGCAGACTGTTTAAGGATCCGCCGCTTCCTCCCTCCTCTGTCTCCCCCTAGCTTTGGGTTTAAGATGCAGAGTGTTTGACAGGAGGAATAGAGAGGGACACACACCTAGGAATATTTGCATGACCCTCCCTCCCTTCCTTCCTTCCTTTCTTCTAGATGGGTGTGGGCTACTAATGAGATTTTTAAAACCTTTTGTGGGGTCTGTGCATAGTGAACTCCGGCTCCAGCCATTTGGAAGCCAGGAGTACCATTGGCTAGGAGAGGAATCCCTACCTCATTCATTCTACACTGCCTCTTCCTCCTCTGCTCTTGCACCTGCCTGATTCCCTCATCCATCATTCTCTCTTTTAAGGTCAGTGTCTCTTTTGCTTTCCCTTATTTGGACTGAACTGAGTATGACTTTTACTTCTAAAAATTTATTAGGCCATGGAAGGACTAGGAAATGTGAAACTAAGAGACTAGCTCAGGCTCAAGGGAGAGAGGGAAAGCAGCCCCGCCTGGTTTATTTTTTCTCCACTTCCCAAACCAGGTCAGTGGGTGAGGAAAGGAGGGCAAACTCTGAGAGTTCAGGATGAAGTTCAGGAAGCCTCTCCTTTCTGCTGCACTTCTTGAGAAGTGCCGGAGCGAGGCAGTGCTGGCTGGGAGAAGCAGAACCTGCAGGTTGGATTTCCCACACTCTCTTCCATGACCTGCACCTCCTGTGAACCGGAGCCATGCAAAGTATGTCTGTGACTAAAAAGACAAAAGCCTTCAGGATGGCATGGACCAGGTTGAGTGAGTGCAGATCCTTGGGGAACTGAGGTCTTCTCTGCCTCATCACCAATAAGTATGACCAGGGTCTAAGGACATCATTAACATGCACCCCAGCCTCTTTCCCAACCTTCCCCCAGAACCATTTGTGGCTTGATGTCTCAGGATAATTTGGATACACTGTCCAAGCTAAGGGTTAAAAACTAGAAGAGATTGACTTTTTGAGCTTTCATGTGAATATTTGTGCTATTTAAAATGGCAGGGAAGGGTAAAAATTGTATTTCTTGTAAGTACCAAAATAAATATGAATTCTGAAAACTGAACATTTTTATGTTCTTAATAAATATGTATATTTAGGCTTTATTTTGGAAGGCCTGTGGTTTTCTTATCTTGATTTTTCCCTGTTGTCCTTGCTGGGAAGAATAGACGTTTGAACAAATAAGGCTAATGCTAAAAGGTTCTGTCCTTTGTACTCCATGTTCCCTTACTTCAGCAAAGGCATCACATGGTCACTCAACAAAGGCATGAAAAATAAGGAGTGTTCCCATATTTTGGAGTAGTTTTGATACTGTAAAACTTTTTTGTATGTCATTATTATGGGCTGACTTATGCTTCCCGAAATTCATTTGTTGAAGCCCTAATGCTAAAACTAGTACTTCAGAATGTGGCTACATTGGAAATGCATTTTCAAAAAGGTGATTAGATTGAAATGAGCCAGGTAAGATGAGACCTGATCCATTCTGTCCTTATAAGAAAAGGAAATTTGGATGCACAGACATACATTCAACGTGAGCAGAGGAAGTCCACGTGAAGATGGGAGGAGGGAAGGAGACCTCAGGAGAAACCAGGCCTCTGGACCCTGGTCTTGCACTCCCAGCCTCCAGAACTATGAGAAAACAAACTGTCATTTAAGTCACCCACTTTCTGAAATCTTGTTGTGACAGCTCCAGGAAACTAATACATTCATTTTCTCTCTTTACCCTAAGGACTTTACAATTGAAACATGGACAATTTTAATGGAAATCACATCTGTGTAAGTCACATTTTCTTCTAACAAGATTCAGAATTTATCACAAAATAATTTAAGATGAACAGAGAGGAACTCACTAGAAATCATTTAGGCAGCAGAGTTCCATTATCATGGCAGTGTTTCTGTCTCTGTTGGGGAGACTCCTACACCAAGGAAGCTAGGTCATGGGCAGCTGTGTTTTG